TATTAGGCTAATTACAGCAGGCTTAATAAATGGGGTGAGTCTGGAGGACGTTCACTACGTGGCCATAACCTGGCTGGGCCTCAGTTTACCTGCTGTGTGTCTTGGGATGGGCCCGAGGGTGATGAGGAAGATCCTGAGACCCTCGGAAGGGCCCTGTGCCTTCTCCCTCCTGCGGGGTAAGCGAAGGGCCGGACAGGAGACACCTGTGGGAGGGAGACCCAAAGGCCAAGGGTGAGGACCTGCTCCAGGCCCTGGGGACATGGCAGTGAACAAGACGGACCCAAATCCCTGCCTTCCTCGAGAGCAAGGCCACGGGCAAGTGCCAGGGTAGGAGCTCGTGGCTGCACTTTTGGACGTGGATTTATCTGGAATCCTGAAGCGAAAGTATTTAGAAATGCCCTCAGGTGTGGGAGGGAGTGGGCAGGTGGTCGGGTGGTCCCTGGGCCTGCCCTGCTTGAAGAGGGGCGCCCACCAGGCCTGGACCACACGGGGGCTGGTGACCCCAGGGCAGTCGGTGCTAGCCTTGGCTGGGTTCTGGTTGCTGGCATCTCTTCCTGCCTGTCGGTCATCTCAGCTGAGACAAGCCTCTGGTTTTGGAAGGGAATTTTCCCAATGCCACCAGCTAAGCTCTCAGGCACTGAGCTTTGGCCTTACTGCTCCAGGCCTTGCCTCCTTCCTGTGCTTGGCACCCTGTGCGTGGGGTGGCTCCCCCTCCCCCCATTCCTGCCTCACCCTCCCCTGCCCCTGCTCTGGCTTCAGAGGCCAGCGTCCTGTCCTCTTACTCTCTTGCCCAGGAAACCTTTTCTGCTGTCAACTCCTCCATCCTACTCATTGCCATGCACCAGGCATCACGCTCCTGGCTGCCCCGCCCTGGCCCTCACCAGCTCTCTGGTGGAGTCATCCCAGCTCTTTCCTCCTCTCCTGTTGTGTCGTCCCTCTCAGAGGCAGGACGCTGCCCCAGTCCTGTGGGAAATACCAGATTCTTTCTCTGATGGTGCCTTCTCAGGGAGCTGATAGCCAGAGGGTGGACATCTGGTGTGGGCATGAGGCTAGGTCAGGGTTTCACAACCTCTGTTGACATTTGGGGCGAGATAGTTCTTTCTTGTAGGGGGCTGTCCTGTGCATTGTAGGATGTTCAGCAGCATCCCTGGCCTCTGCTCACTAAGATACCAGTAGCACTCCCTCCCTAAGTTGTGACATCCCAGGAGTCTCCAAACATTGCCAAATGTCTCCTGCGGAGCAAAAGCGCTTCTGGCTGAGAACTGCTGGGCTTGGGGATGAGAGCAGCGTGTCTCCGGTCGGCTAAGCCGGTGCTGGAAGGGACCTGAGAAATTCTCTAGTCCAGGTTGCACACTTTAAAGGGAATCGGGCCTCAGCTAAAGAATCTTAAGATCACACAGGGAGCAGCATGATGAAAGAGGCATTTTAGAAAAGGGCTCAGGCAGCTCTATGTATGCAGTGTGGGCTGAAAACAGGCCTGGGGCAGGCCGGGGGTGTGGCTGGGATCTGGCGTGAGGCAGGGGCTGAGCGGGGGTCTTGGGGCCTCTCACCTGTGGCTGGGGCTCAGTGGGTGCTTGCAGGCCCTGGGAGCGGTGGTCCGGAAGGGGCTCTGCCCCAAAAGCCAGGAAACCAGGTTCAGGGCCCCGGCTGGTGTGTGGCAGCTGCCTGTCCTCTCAGTGCCCTTGTCTGTAACTTAGGGCCTGACGTTTGTGTTTTCTGCTGTCTGGGGCCTCTGCCGGTTCTGGGTCATCTGAGGTGGGAACAGAGGATCCTTCTCAGCAGGAGCCCCCTGAGGCCGTGGAGGAGTGGCAGTGGGTGTGCAGGGGCCTCTGAGCTCAGCAGACCTCTATAAGGCCGGGGCCCTGCTGGGGGTGGGGCGGGGAGGGGGCCTTTGAGAGGACAGGCTGCTGTGGGGCTGCCCTGCCTGTGGACAGCAGACATCCCTGAGCTCTACCCTGGGGCAGGTTGGGGCCTCAGACGGAAAGCCAGAAGAGGGCAGGTGTGGGGGTGGGGTCACAGGCCGGGTTTTGGGAAGCCTGCAGCCAAATCAGAGAGCATGGAGTGTGGAGTCAGAGGACCAATTCTGAGAGATGACATCTCCTGGGACTGTCTGAACTGCTGAGATTTTCCCAGGCAGAGGCTCCTTGACCCCACAGCAGTTTCCCCCAGGAGGGAATGGACAATAGAGGCACAGAGGGGCCCCTGTGTGAACTGGCTTCTGGGGAAAGCTGTGCTCTGAGAACTTTCCCAGGCTCAGGGGCATCTCAGGCGCCCTGGTGTCTCTAGCTGCACGGGGCGGGGTATCCTGCTCTCCAGGGCCCCATGGCCTGCTGTACCTGTGGGAGTGACCTGGCGGCAGCGGGTTTTCCTCTTACTCATCCCAGAGTCTGACTTTTAGAGCCATACCTCTTCAGCACGAAGATCATGCTGGTATGATTCCATGGTATGATTAATGGAAGAAAAATTGAGACGGCAGCACAGAAACGGACCCGCTGAAGAAAGTCAGAGTGACAAGTGGATGAAAGTATGAGGCCCCACTGGCGAACCCCCAGCTTCTGACCCGGCCTGGGGCGCCACCTCCTGGTGGAAGGGGGTGGTGGCACCCATTCCCCCTGCAAAGCTGGCAGCTGCCCCACTGCGTGGATGCCCTGGGCCCGAGTGTCCCAACCTCGGGAGCCTTGACCTCGTTCCACCTGGGGCTGCTGCGGGGCTAGGAGGCGCAGGACCACTCCCACAGTGTGGGACCCCGGCAGCTGCTCCGCTTACCTGACTCCCCTCACAGCTCCTCAAAGGGCTCTGGTTTAGTAATACGTAGAGACGCCCACACTCCTTTCGTCATGCCCAGTCTGGACCACCTTTCTGTTTCCCCATTTGTCAAAATCCTACTCCTTCTTTAAAGCCCAGCGAGCCCTGTCAGTGCTACCTTCAAAACGTACCTCGAATAGACCGTTTCTGTCCATGACCGCCTGGTGAGAGCCGCCAGCTCGCCCCTCATCATGGCAGTGGCTCTGCCTTTGCCCTCCGATGGTCTGCTCTCCGAACGGCAGCCAGAGTAACCCACTGGAAACGTGGATCATGTCATTCCCGTGTCCCGAGGCTCCCCCTCACACGAGATCAACACCCACATTCTTCTCATCCGATGCCTGCGAGGTCCCCGCCACTTGTCACCTTCTTGACTATCACAGCCCCATAGGCAGCTTGTTCCTCCTGGCCAGCCAGGCTCATTCCCACCTCAGGGTGTGCTGTTCCCTCTATCTAGAACATTCTTCCCCCAGATATTTATGTGGCTCACTTTCCTCTTTTTTGGGTCCCTACTCAAATACCGCCTTTCCGAGATGCCTTCCCTGAACACTCTGTCACTTTCTGACTCCTTGCCGGTCTTATTTTTCTTCATGCACGTCCCAGCACCTGAAATCCCACCGTATGTTTGCTTATGGAATGACTGCGTCCCTTCTGGGAATCCCCTCTCCAAGAGGGCGGGTCTTCGCTGGCCATTTACCGAGTCTCCCAGCACTCAACCTCAGAACGGGCCTGGCACTTCCCGAGTGGGTGTCTGTGGACTGAGTGAGGGGAGGAAAAGTGCCTCCTGGGGGCCCTCTGCCTCTCCCACCCTCGCGTGCATGCGCATGGCCAACGGCTCTCAGCCTGCCTGTGGGGCTGCCTGGTCTGCTCGGGATCAGGAGCAGCACAGCCCCCCCCCCCCCCCCCGCCCCCGCATGGGGACTGGGAGTGCCTTTCAGAGAACAGCGCCGGTAGGCTGCCCCTCTCATTGATCTCTTCCATTTAAATTCTCCTAACACCCCAGAAGGAGGGCGAGAGTATTCTCATTTGGCCTAAAGGGAGATTGCAAGGTCCCAACCAGCATGAGCTGGAGCTGGGTGTCACATCTACTGTCTATGCGTCTCAAGACCTCACCTCTGCACTTTCACCCTCCATGGAGTGTTCTTGTCCTCCACCCGTCCTTGAGGGACTGCCTCCAACTGGCCTCTCGGACCAGGACAGCAATTGCCGCCTCTGAACTCCTGGACCATTTATTTGGCACCAGTGTATACTGCCTGGGGTAGAGTTTGCTCTTTTATTGCTCCCATGCAGCCTGAGCAGAGACCCCGGAAGGCAGATCTGTGAAGTGGTCGTAGCTCTTTTGGCATAGGATGCTGCTGCTGTGGGTACTCAATAAATACTGGTTGACTGATTGGCTCCTCAGACTCAGCGCACTTCTCCTGAGCTGCCGGAGGGTGGGGGAGTATCAGCTCTGTGGAGCATAAACTAAGGCAGCTGTGGGATCCGCAGCCTGGGACAGGGGCTTCCCCAGGCCAGCCCAGTGGTGGCGCAGCCCCAGGGTGCCGTTGAGGAGAGTCCATGTTCGGCTGCGGTGCCAGCTGCTGACTTGCTTGGATCGGTGGCAGCGGCAGTGATGGACTCCCACGTCCTGCACATCGGCCAGCCCCCAGCCAGCCCAGTGGGCTCTTCTGTGTTTCCATCTGTGGGAATTCATTCCTCAGGCTCCTGAGGACAGCGGGCAAATTGTCCCTCTGGTCAGGCCAAGGACACAGTTGCCAGAAGTCTGGCTCTGAGAAACTGGACTCCAAGATTCTCTTCCCAACCCCAGAGAGCAGTCCCTAGGCAGGGTCTCTCCCTGACCAGCGTGCGCCCCTCCCCCGGACTCCCTCCTGGATGCGGGCCTCTCCTCTGCCAGGTGGAAGAGCCACGAGCACACACGTGTGGGACCTGTTACACATGTGTGCCTGTGTCTTAATGTGGTCCTCAGAGTGACCCAGGAGGTCCATGAAGCTAATGGAACCCCGTTTGCCAAATGGGGAGACAGAGAGGCAGAGGAGTTGTCAAGGCCACACAGCCGACTAATGGGGCCATGACCGGATCTGACCAGGAGCCGGGCTCACCCTTTCTGTGCCTCACGGTTGGGGTGGGACCATGCCATTGAGTTCCACAGAGATGGGCGCGGGCCAGGGCCACTCTAACAGGCTTTCCTCTCTCTCCAGCTCTGTGGCTGTGGGCTGCTCGGAGTGGGCATTTGGCTCTCCGTGTCCCAAGGCAACTTTGCCACCTTCTCCCCCAGCTTCCCCTCGCTGTCTGCAGCCAACCTAGTCATCGCCATAGGCACCATTATCATGGTGACAGGCTTCCTCGGCTGCCTGGGGGCCATCAAGGAGAACAAGTGCCTCCTCCTCAGTGTAAGTTGGACCCCACATCCCCACCCTCTGAGCTCTAGATCCCCCTACATTTGGGCCATTGAGGCTGGCAAGGCCTGGGAACATCAGCCAACCGAGTGACCAACCTGAGCCCTTCCATGTTGCTTCTAGAATGTTCTTTGCTTGACCACTGCCCTCTTCCTCATGACTGACTATCCCTGTCCAAGTTGTCCCTCCCACTCCTTGGTTGGCCATCTACTTCCTCTCCCTCCCCTTCCTTTCTGGGACCCCACCCCTGGGAAGCCCTGTCTGTGTGCCACCTGTCCCCTGCCTCCCCACTGTCCTTCTGGGTGCACCCTGTCCTTGCCATGACCGCTACCCCATGCCCATGCCTGGACTTCTCTTTGCAGTTTTTCGTCGTCCTGTTGATCATCCTTCTAGCAGAGCTGATCTTACTGATCCTCTTCTTTGTCTACATGGACAAGGTAAGCCCTCCAGGAAGGGAGGGGGCGATTGGGATTTCATTGCCTTTGGGTTGGGTCAGGGCGAGCAGGAGGGAAAGTGCCTACAGGCCGTACCTGTGAGGAAAGGAGGATGGAAGCAGGAGAGCTAGGAAAGGCCCAGATGAACGGTTCTGGTGGGGCAGCCTGGGGAAGCTGAGTTTGAGGGGAGTGAGGACGTTCATTACCTGTGTGGTCTTAGGAAGTGGCGTCCCGAGGGATGCAATAGGCTGCCTCTGGCATTAGCGAGCTCCCTGTCACTAGGAGGATTCAAGCATAGCTGTGTTGAGTATTTGGAGAAGGGATTCAGACCCCATGAGGTGGTTGGGCCGGGTGGTTTGATGTAGCCCGTTGGAAACAGAGGAACTTCCCAGGTGATGCTGTGTGTAGGGCTACCAGCGGAGGGTAGCTGTGTTTCCTCTCCCAGAGCCCTTTAAGGACAGGGCTGCTGCTCCCAGGCTGCACCGCGGGGTTCAGGAGGCTGATGCGGGGCCCCCTGGCAGCCTCGCCAGGGGACAGTTCCTAGTCCAGGTGGAGACGACTCTTACTGCTGCCAGCAGGAGTCCCGGCCAGGCGCTCAGTCCCTAGGACACAGCAGGCTGTTCTGGGACACTGCGCCCCGCAACTATGTAGCTGTCTATTCCTCCGCTTCTTGAAGTAGTTGCCCAGGCCACACTGAAAGGCAGAGTCATTGTTAGGATTAGAAACAATAATTCCTTTGCACTTGTGAAATGGAAGAAATAATAATATTGAGCGATCCCCCTGTTCTTCCCTCTTTATAAGGATTATTTCTTTTAATTCTCCCAGCAATGCCAGAGGTAGATACTATTATTCCAATATTGTAGATAAAGCAGAGGTGAGAGAGGGTAAGGTACTTGCTAGCGAGGGTGGACCTAAGATCAAAATGACTGATCTGCCAGCCTCTGTTTCCCAGGGTGTATTATGACAGGGGCACATGGGGGAAGAGGTTGTGGGTGGGGTGGCAGAGTGGCCTGTGGGGCTGGCTGGTCCTGGGACCAAGGGAGTCGAGGCCCTCTGTCTGTCTCTGCCTCTGGGTGCTGCAGCCCTGGGAGGCAGTGGGTGGACCTCCCCTGCCCCGGCCTCCACCCCCAGGTGGGGCAGGGCCCCCATCTGGAAGAGCTGTGGCCGACAGCCCCAGTGGACCGGGGCAAGTTGGGAGAGGGGCTGTGTCCTGGTCCCAGCCACCCTGAAGTCCGTTCTCCCCCCGGCAGGTGAGTGAGAATGCCAAGAAGGACCTGAAGGAGGGCCTGCTGCTGTACAACACGGAGAACAACGTGGGGCTGAAGAACGCCTGGAACATCATCCAGGCCGAGGTGAGGCTGGGCAGCACCGGGCAGGCGGGGAGCAGGGGCGGCTCGGGCTCCACCCAGCTGACCAAATTGGGCACCGGTGCTTCCTGGATTTTGACCAAGAGCTGCTGGATCAGGCACCAGGCAGTGGGATGCAGCTGAGAGCACGGGGAGGCAGGCACAGGAGGGGGAGCAGGACCTGGATGCAGGAGGTCCCTTTCCTGAAGCTTTTCCTGAAGCTCTGGCATGAATGACAGAATTTATTTTAGCAACGCATTCATTTCTTCATCACGACTTGGGCAAGGAGGCTCTGTTTAAGAGGAAAACAGTCAGTTTAGCCCGGACACCCCACATTAAGCTCTGGGGAGGGGCTGGCAGCCAGCGTGGAATGATCCACAAAGCACAGAGCCAGAGGGGCTGGTGGGCGAGCAGAGGGCTGAGTGCCCCTGTGCCGTGTCCAGGGCCTGGCTCAGGGGTGGGCGGCATCACCTTCTCCTCTCCGGCCTGCAGGAAGGAGCTATCACTTACTTCCCCTGTGGGCCTGCTGATGCCCAAAGAAGGGACAAGAAGAAGGCCTTTGTCTCCTCCGCTGGACTCCAGGGGGGCAGCTTTTGTGGGGCCAGGGTTGGCCTGGGAGGGGAAGGCCCAGAGGAGGACGGCGGGCCGTGGCGCGTGTGACCCTGTGCACCCCACCCGCAGATGCGTTGCTGTGGTGTCACCGACTACACAGACTGGTACCCGGTGCTGGGCGAGAACACGGTGCCCGACCGCTGCTGCATGGAGAACTCCCAGGGCTGTGGGCGCAACAGCACCACCCCGCTGTGGAAGACGGTGAGGCTGTAGGCGCCTCTGTGCTGGATGGGCTGGCAGGAGGATGCCTACAGGGAGGGTGGCCTGGGACACCAAGGAATTGGTCTAATGAGGGGTAGGGTGGGGGGCACACAGGACTGGAGACAAAAGGCAGGTGGAAAATGGGGGCCTGAACCCCCAGAAGGGAGAGTCAGAGGGTAGAGGGTTGAATGGGTTCTGAGGCTGTGTGAGGCCTTGTAGGGGGAACCCTGGGTGGGGTGGGGCCTGCTCATAGGTAGGAGGGACAGGGCTGAGGGGCAGGAAGGGACGGGAGGAGAGAGCAGGGTCAGGGCTGAGGGTTAGGGAGGGACGGGAGGAGAGAGCAGGGAGGGGCAGGGCTGAGGGGCAGGAGGAGAGAGCCAGGGCAGGGCTAAGGGGAGAGTGGGGGTGCTGGGCAGGAGGGGCTCACGGGCACACCAGCACCTTAACCTTGTGGTCCTCGCTCCCCAGGGCTGCTATGACAAGGTGAAGATATGGTTCGATGACAACAAGCACGTGCTTGGCACGGTGGGGATGTGCATCCTTGTCATGCAGGTAAGAGGGCTGCCGGAGCTCCCTGTACCCTTGCTGGCCCCGGGCCAGAGGAGGAAGCCCAACCCCGGGACTTAGATCACCACCCCAGCGGCCTGACTCCAGAGCTTTCCTGCTCTGCCCGAGCCCTTCTCTCTTGATGCCTGTCCCACCCTGCAGGCACCGTGGGGCACTGCTTCCTTGGCTCCCTCTGAGCCTTGGGCCTGGAGCTGGCATCGCATCAAGCCCCCGTGTGGGTTTGCTTGTGAACACACCTGTCCCCACTCCATGGGGACATTCACTTTGTGACCGAACTGAACGAAACCTGAGTCCTCAGGTGCTGATCGTGGGCCGGACTGCACGAGTGCTGTCCCGGCCACACCACCTGTGTGAGACATGTGTGGCCTGGGCAGGGTGCTCGGCTTCTGCGCCCTCAGTCCCACATTGGTGTGATGGGCAAGGCAGCCGTGCCGCTTCTGAGCACTGAGTGTGATGCGCCCCAAGGTGCAGAGCAGGCCGGGCGCAGAGGAGGTGCCCAGTCCACGGCCGCTGTTATTCACAAGCATTGAATGAACAGCTGTCCTTCGCAAGGCCAAGCACAGATGATGGAGCGGGCCGAGGAGGGTCCCTGCCTCCCTTCTTGAAGATGAGGCCAGCACAGCTTGCTAGGAGCGGGAGCCCCCTTTCTGGGGAGGAACATTTCCTGGGCTCCCTCCGCCCGCTTAGGTATGGCTCCTCCTCCTGGTGAGTGGGAGCCTGCAGTGCCTGATTGCTCTTGGAGCACTTGAACTTGAATGGTTGGTCCATGGGAAGATGGTCGACAGCCTTCATGGCGTCATCTTTCTTACCCTGCACTCTTGGCCTGGGGGCCTGAGCATGTCTGATTTATTAAGTGTTTTCAAGCTTAGCGGAGGAGCCACGGTCGTTCTCAGAGCTGCGATGTGAGATGCACTTACAGAGCAGATTCTGTTCGGTACCGGGAAGGGGGCCCATCTAAGGGATGCCTGTGGTCAGGCTGGACTCGAACGCTGAGGCCAGGCTCAGCAGCCACGGTCTCCTCCAGTTATGCCCACACCTTGAGTGCAAGAGCCATGAGGGGCACGCAGTGTCTCCTGGTCACCTGCTTTATGGCGTGTGCCTGTGGCCCACTGTCTGTGGCGACCCTGAGGCCACAGGCTGGCTTCCTCCTGCCCCTGCACTGCTCTGACTCACCATCCCCTGCAGGATTCAGGAGTTGAGGAATCACAAATGAGCATTAATGTCATCCTACACACAGCAGCATTGGTAGGACACGTCCACTGTGGCCAAAGACATCTTTTGATGTATTCCAGGACCACACAGAAATGACTTGGCAGGGTTTTGTCACGTTCCCACCAGCCTCCTCCCCCTCCTCCTTGGCAGCTGCTGTGCAGGGGCAGGGCCGTTGTGCGTCAGCCCTCTCCGGGGCGCTCTGAAGTGGGCAGGGTCCCGAGCCCCAGAGAGGCTCCAGGACAGTCTGTACAAACGGCTCTGAGAGGCTGACTCCTTGTGTGTGTCCCCCTCCGTCCACCATTGTTTTCATTCCGCCAACGTGTCCAGCACACGACTGGTTGTCCCCACTTGCTCTAGGGGCCCCACGTCAGAACCCTGGCCGTGGGGCTTCCGTCTGAGGCCCTCTCCCCATGTCTTTCAGATCCTGGGCATGGCCTTCTCCATGACCCTCTGCCAGCACATCCACAGGACCGGGAAGAAGTACGCCGCCTGAGGGGCCGGCGGGAGCGCCCAGCCCCGCCGCACACGGCCGGGAGGAAGATTGGAGCTTTGTGTTGCCTGCCGCACTCGGACTGCTGACCCCGTCCCCACAGCCCGCCCGCCCGCGCCACTGTGGGTGGAGGGCCGGGGGAGGAGGCCCGCAGAGACCTTGGGGTGCTGGGGGCACCTGGATTCCTGCATCTGTGTATTTGCCAAAGAAGACAGGGTGGGCCGGGGGCATGCTCCAGGAGGCCCCCAGCACTGACGCATTTCTGCCCCTGCCCTTCCTCACGCCGACCCTTAGTCCCCATGTTGGGTGCAGGGCACAGCGCTCCCTCCTGGTGGAGAGACTGCCCAGCTGAGGTCGCTGGCATCCACAGCCCCCGTGGGAGAGCGGGAGAGCTGGTGGGGGCGCCTGACCGCTCTAGGCCAGGCCCCCGGGAGCATCTTGCCCAGGCTTTTTATACCTTACAGTGTAACTTTTTTATTTTATTTTACTCTGATTACGATTATTCAGGAATATTATCTCAGCTAAGTTTAGGGTTAGCTTTCTGATTTATAACTTTGTACTGCATTGGTTTGTGTAACGGTTTGATTTTTCCTGAGGGTGGGGCGGGTAGGGAGAGTAGACGCTGTCCGGCTGCAGTCAGGACAAACCGCTGTGCACCAGCCAGGAGGCTCTGGGGGAGACGTGCCGGCCTTGGCTTGGACGCACTGAGGAGGGCCCGGCGTCCGGCACGGAACCTGGAAGAGGCGGCGGAGAGGGGAGCAGGAGGCAACGCAGGTGCACCTCAGGGAGCCACGCGTTTGCTCACGCTGGCCCCAGAGGCAGGGCAGAGCGGTCCTCTGGGGGCAGGTGCTTTGCCAGGAATGCAGCAGCAGCTGTCATGGGTCCTTGCACTTCACTGAGGAGCAGTGTTTCTTTTTTCCCTTCTTCCTTCCTCCTGCCCTCTGCTGGCACGGAGGCTTCCCCTTCCACCCCAGGCGGGCGTTCCCGCGACAGGTTCTGCAAATCCAGATACTTTCACAGACATTCCTGCTAGAAACTCTCGGACAAATACCTCTCTAGTTCAGATGCTGCTCACTTTCTCACATTGCTTCTGGAAGGGGAAGCAGTCCTTACATTTTGCTGCTCAGACAGTGGCAGAGGACCCGTGACCGTCAGGAGGGGAAGGTGGAACGGTGCCCATGATCATTCCAGCCAGATTCCCTGAGGGGAAGATGTCCATCTGGGTCCCGGGACCCTCATCTCCTTCCTTGGGGTTCACTGATGCTGAGGTGGGTGGTGATCACGTCCTCTGTGACCCCAAGGAGAAGTACAGAAACCGTAAGAGAGGTCAGACTGGGTCCTGCTACAGTGGCCCCAGGAAGAAGGCAGCCTGAGTCACGGCGTGGGAGATGAACAGTGGGGTGGGTATTCAACTACAGCAGGGTGACCCCACCAAAACTTATGCTGGTCTAGTTGAACATTCTGCAGTGAAATAAAAGTCAAGAGTCCACGGGACTGAACTTGCCGAGGTTACCCACTAGTTGGCTAGGATCCAGAGTGGGGCAGCTGCTTTCTCCTGCACCACTTGGCTTATCACCTTGATTTCCTCTGGGCCCACGTCTCCTCTCCAGCCTCCACCTGTCTGTCCAGGGGCACCCCAGCCAGCACAGCTCCTCCGCTCACCTAAGTACAGTGCAGTTGGGACCAGGAGTAGGGAACTTTTGGTGTGTTTAGGATTCATGATTTTGGGGGATGGGGAGTGGGAGTAGGGTGGTCTCAGCAAGTTGGACAGAGAAGACCACCTCCCTGAGATGGGAGTGGTGGTGCTGCTGGGAAGGTCAGTCCTTGGGTAGGGCGAGGCATGGGCAAGCACACGTGTGAGCAGAACTGCCTTCCTGGGCCGTCTGGCCCCATCTTCCTGGTAAGGAGCTCTGGCTGCCTGCCCAGAGCCCCAAACTGCAGAGTGTGGAGCAGACGTGCCACCATGCCACTGCAGAGAGGCCCTTGGCCAACAAGCATTCGAGTGCACGGTGGGACCTGGTGCAAAATGAGTGTGCGCTGTGTGTGGGGGTGGGTTGGTTTATGCCTATCAATGCAATTTTTAATTTTTGTTAAAATCAACAGCAAAGCCTAGCACCTTGGGGAGTGTACAGCCTCCCTGGCAATCTGTTTCTGGCGCTTCAGGGGCATCCTCTGGTCCTGGAGCCCTGGCCACAGGCTGCCCCCCTCCCTGGCTCGTCTATCTGCAGAGCCTCGTTCACCGCTCCCAGAAAACGGCCTTCCTGCCTCACCCAGTGCTTGGCTCTTCCGTCATTTGGCCAAGTCTACACTGGGCGGAAGGCTCCATGAATGGGGATGTAGGGGGTGTGGGGAATGTGGGGGTGCTCTTCCAAGCTCCTTGCCCACCCTGCAGAGCCATCCCCACCCCACACAGAAGGCCGCGCCGTGTGATGGCGGTGATGGTGGCCCAGCATCTGCTTAGTTTCTCCCGCCGGGTCCCACTGGGGCGGATTAGCTGAATTCCCTCCCCCGGCTTCGGTAGTTCAGTCGGCTCTGACTCAGAAGGTCACGGTCTGTGGACCACGTTGCAGAATGCCTGCCGTGGACGCAGCAGCCATCCTGCAGGGGAGGTGGGCGAGCAGGGGGAGTGCTGCCCCGGGGGGCCTGCAGCGGGCGTGGAGGGGTGTCTCACCTGCACCCCAGCCGGTGCGCTGACAGCCCCCCGCCAGCACCAGCCCACATCTTGGGCTCGCTCTGGAAGTGCTGCTGCCCCCCCTGCCCCCCATGCATGTGTTCTGGTTTGACTTGGAACTGGCTGGCTGTCCCACCTTGCTTTGGTGGCCAAAGAGCAGTCCAGGTGGATGCAAGTGACTGTCCCCGCCTCTCCCGCCCCCTGCCCACCCACTGGTGGAGGTGCTAGCTAGCAGGGACCTGGCACAGGACGGAGCTGGGGTCAGGTGCTTGGGCTCACTCTTTGTCGCTCGGCCCTTGGAGTCTGGCCTCTCCTGTTCCATTTCCCGTCTCCATCACGACGAGGCAGTCGTCCAGTGTGTGCCGGCCTCCCTGCCCTGGACGAGCCTCTGAGGGGCGGGCCTTGGGCCCTGCCTACCCCCTGCCCACCGGCACCGCAGGGACAGAGGGGAGTGGGGAACACACTTGTTGGTTTCAATGCACTTTTCTGCTTGCGATGCCCTGTCTGTGCGCTTCCTTCATCCTGGTCCTGGCTTTATTGAACGCCATGTTTTTAGCATGTTTTTAAATAAAAACTGATAAGTGTCAAAAGCACAAGCAGGCTGTCTCGTGGTTGGTTTGTGTTCACTGAGCCACGATTGACTTATTTCATGCAGTGGGTGGTGTGAGGGATCCCAAGAGAACCAGGCACCCGTGCTACTCTTGGTCTAAGCCGCCCCTCTTCTCGGGCACCCCATCTCCCCTTCTCGGGCCCAGGTTACAGATCTGCTGGGCGAGGAGGGGCTCTCTGTGGGCATCTGAGGAATCCTAACACCCCCTTTGCCTGGTGACCGGATGCAGCCTTGGTCAGGAGCCAGTCCAAGTATGAGCCCTCTGGGTGAGAGAGCGACTCCCACCTGGGTGTCTGTCACCACCACCAACGGCTATCGCGGGCCAGGCCGAGGGCGCTGGGGGCAGGGGCAAGCAGCGCCATCCATGGCTTCCTGTGGGCAGGGGCTGTAGGTTGTAGGCACAGTCTCCCCGATCCTGCTGACGTTCCTGGGGTTCACGTGAGCCTGCTGTCTCTTCCAGGAGTGAGGGGACTTCACAGGGTGACTTGGCCTGGGCGGCACCCACTTGGGGTGGCTCTGAGATGGCCTCGAGGAGGGCACGGAAGCACAGAGTTGGGATGAGACGGGCAGCAGGACAGGAGGGAGGCGTTTAAAACCACGCGTGCTGCTGATTTTGCCTTCTTCCCGCAGTGTACTCTCCCAGGTCCCGCGGTCAGGGTTCTGGTCTGTGGGTTTTCCTCCACTGTCACAGTCACAGGCACAAGCTGCAGGCGAGCGGAGCTCCGACGTTCTCCTCACCCTGGGCCGTTGCTGTACCGTGGGCCCGGCTGGGCGCGGGCAACAGTGAATGCGCAGCGTGGGTCCGCGTCGGGGGCATCTCTAAACCCTTCACGTGTGGAGGTCTGTCTCCCTTCCTCGTCCTCAAGGGAGTGGCCGGGTTGGCTCCGCATCGTCCCAGAGCATCAACCTCTGTGACCTCGTCCTGCTGCCGCTGTCCCAAAGCCACCAGAGACTTGCTGAGGATTGAGGAGTCCGAGGTGACCCTCTGTCGAAGGTCCAGTGGGCATGGGGTCCCTGGGAGCCTCCCCAAGAATTACCAGAGGGGACCTTGTGGCTCTGGGGTCGGGAGTTGGTCATGGCTGAGGGGCTGGCCCTTCATCATCCACTGAGGACCGGCCGGGTCACAGGACTGTGGTGGAGGCCACCTCCCCAGCCTGTGCTTCCTTTCACCCCTGCCCTCCAGGCTGTGGCCACAGCTGTTGGGATGCCCCCAGGGTTGCTGTGCTATCTGCTTCTGGGGGACAGAGTGAAGTCTCTTGGCTCACAGGGCGATGGAAGGCACTGACCTCTCTGTTAGCACGGGGCTTCGGTCAAATGAGCTAAGCCGTGAGGGCAGGCCGCCCTGGCTTGGCAGGAGAGGCGACGTTCGTATCAGGACAGGGCAGGGCGTCGTTCTTCCCTGGGACTGCTAATGACTAGGCTGGAACCTTTGGGGAATGACTAGGCTGGAGCCTTTGGGGATTGGTGCTGGGCTCTTCAGCCCATGGGAGGGGGTGGCAGAGCTGACCCAGGGGGCCCCTCTGTTGCTCCTCCATTCTTGTGTGATGTGGTGGGAGAGCCATCTCCCCATCGGTGCTCAGCAAAGGGCAAGCGAGAAAGGATGGTTTACGAGCAGCAGCAGCAGCAAGGTACCCATACGAGAACTCCCTCAAAACGGCCAGCACTGGGGTCTGCAGAGACAGGACATTCAGTCACTCAAAGACCTACTGGAAGCTCACTTGTGCCAAGCAGCTTGAATACAATGGAGAATGGCCCAGGGCCAGTCCTTGTGCTTGCAGAGGGGCGGCAGAGGGCAAACGGGATTGCAGCTCAGGGCTCTGGGAGCGATGTCCGCAGGATGGGAGAGGCACTGACCCCGAATTGGGGAAGGTGAGGCCCCCTAGGGGAGGTGATGTCAAAGCTGAGAGCTGAAGACAGGAGTTCACCCGGCAAAGAGTGGAAGGTGTGTGCTGTCAGTGTTGGAGCTGGCGCACAGAGGGTGAAGAGGGTGTCTGGAGAGAGTGGCAGCCGCCAGACCTCAACCTGGGAAGCCAGGTTAAAGTGTGTGTACTTTAAGCTAAGTGCAATGGGAGCCCACTGAACGGTTTGAAGCCTACTGTGATAGGCTAAATCTGCCCTTGAGAGCCATCACTCTGGCTGCAGGGTGGAGAATGGTTAGAGGGGACAGGTTCGATGCTGGCACGTCAGGGAGAGGCTGCCTCAGTGATGTAGGTGAGAGATGATGGAGCCCACAGGGAAGCGCAGTGGGGTGAAGGGAAAAACCTACAGATTTGAAAGCCACACAGGAGAATGGACAAGCCTTGGTGACGAATTAGATTTACTGGGGGGAGAAGGAGCATTCTTGCCATTCATCTGGCGTGACGTCCCTCACCCTGGACAGGTGGATGACTCGTTTGCCCCGAATGGAGGATGAGTATATTTTCTGGGCGCGTGCTCCTGTGCAGGGGATGGGCAGAGACCAGCCTGGTGTAGTGAAATCTCTCCTGTCGTTTGTATTGTGCTTCCCAGCCTGTCGGTGCTTTCCTATACGTTAGCTAGGCTTCTCCTGACCACAACCACTTTATCGGCTGTCACTGTGCCTGAAGCTTCTCCATTACACACGCACCATGTCTGGGTGGGAGGGGCGTGGGTTTGGGAGTTGGAGGGTCTCAGGTGAATTCCCACTCTGCACTTGGTGTCCATGCGAGTGTTGGGTGGTCCTTGAACTTGTCTTGGTTTTGTCTTCTGCAAAATGAGGATAATACCTATTTTAGAGATTTGCTGTGAGGGTGACGGACAAGCATGTATGTAAAGACATCCAGCTTATTTCTGGACCAGCGTAGGTGCTTGGCAAGAAAGTGGTCAAATCAGGGTCCTCAGGAGTCCCCAAGGAGGAGCATCCCCTGAAAGCTGGGGACACAGGGGAGTGATCTAGAAAGGGGAATTGGCGTATGGAGCGGGGAGTGAGCTGTTGAAAGGAGGTGTGAGGGCTTGGCGGGCAAGCTCCCCCGACGGGTCAGTTTTGCTCTGGCCTGGCCCAGTAGCAGCATTCAATAATCCACAGAAGCAAGAGGGAAGTCTGATTAAATGAATGTCATTTTGGACACAAGAATATTGGCATTGCAATGGTCCCGTCTTAAAGCAGTCAGCAAAGATCGGGAGGCTATTGATTCAGCCATCTCGTTTCTGCTGAGTTTAATGACAGCCGTGGAAATGGACTACTGTGTCTCCTTAAGCTAACAAGAATAAGAACACTTCGCAGGGCACGCTGGGGCCAGGCCCTCGGGTTGAAGCGGCCTGGCTGGACTCTCCCCTCGCGGCCCTAGAGACTGCCAGATGGCTGAGAGCCAGCGGGGGCAAGCCTGGGGCGCCACCCAGCTTCCCTTGGTGTCTGTTTATGCGGAGGAGAGCAGGGGACTGGCAGAGCAAGGCCACCCGGTGGGCTGGGGCTGGGGCTAGTGGGTGGAGCCTGTTGCCCCGAGATTTTTCTTCTGGCAGCTGCAGAGTTCGGGGACCCAGCCGCACCCAATGTCAGGAGCAGGGCGACCCAGCGTGTGGACAGGGCGAGCCTGTGTTTCCTCATGCAACGGCATCAGGAAGCTCCTTGCCCTTAGGCGCCCTCCTCCCGCCCAACTCTCTCCCACTAGATCCCTGCAATCCCAATACGTTCTCAATACATTTCTTTTCTCTGGAAAGAGACCCCAGTTCCAGAAACGACTCAGCCTTCTTATTTCCTGATTGGCAACTTAGGGACAGCATGTTGAAATGGCTCTCTGGTCCCCAACTTGGGGTTCTCTACACCCCAATTAGGATTCATGAGCTGCTTTCAATATTTTAGAAGTCAGGTGGAAATTGTTCATGGCCTCTTCAAAGAGTGCCCGGGCTGATGGAACACTGACCCTCTGGGCTCTGCTGGCCTGCTCATGTCCTCTGGCCAGTGACATGCTTTGCACTTGCTGGTGGAAAGGGCTGGATTCAAGCTTGACTTACCGCCCTCTTCACCCCTGCCTGATCCGAAGGATCCCACGGGGTCCCCCGCAGTGCCCTCTCCTTCCTGCTCAGTCACTGCCACACAGGGGCTCAGCCAGGGACAAAAGCAGGGGCAAAAGGGAAGCAGAGGCGTCTCATCTTTGTTTTTAAGAAGAACGTCAGTGGAACGATCTCGGCTTTTGGCCCTTTTGTCATCTCCCCGCCTTCACTGGCCACCGGCAGCCTCTGTTCTCCGTCGGGGAGAGGGAGTGAGAAGCGGGGTCCCAGCTTGAAGCAGCCCACCCTCGGCCACATGACAGCCCAGCCCCTGCTGGGAAGTGGCAGCAGCTGACAGGCCAGCTCAGCTACCAAGGGGGACAGCTTCACAAAGGCTTCCACTGCCTGCCCGCCTGACTAGGCCCCCGTCGGCCTCCAGGGCTGTTTAGACAGCAGTGACCACCACCCGCTCTGCCCATGTGCACAGGGAGGGACCTGGAGGGGTGCACGTCCCTCCTCGGGCACACTTGTGTGCTTGTGTGTACACACACTTACACTCATAGTGATGATGGAGGTGAGCAGATGTCTGGATCCAACAGGTTGGTGACCGTGGACGTGCCCTAGACTGAGTCCACTCCCCTAATGGCCAAGCCATCGGAAGGCTGCCACTGTGATTGCCCATTGTGAATGAACTTGACCAAAGGGGCCGAGGAGACAGCAGAGCCGGCCAGGGGCTGCAGGCTCCCCTGCAAGGTGGGTCTCCACCTGGGGACATCCTCGGGTGGATCCATCTGTTTACACAGCAAGTGAGCAGGCCCCCTTCGCCAGGTGAGCTGCTGGCTCCCAGCCTGCCTCCCCACCCTGACTCCTAGTCCCACCATCTTGGGATCCCTAGAGCCAAGCTTTCCCAAGTCTCTTCAGGTTCCCCCACTGACCCCACACCACCTCAAGCATGTTTTCTAGACCGAACAGTGAATGAAATAGAATGAGTGTTTATGTCATCAAAGACAAAGCATTTACTTCCTTTATCTCTGCACT